ACCAGCCCCTGCTCATCTTAAAAAGCACCGGGGCCCAGCCCTCACGCAGCAGGCCAGCTGCTCAGAATCACACCAAAGGGGCAGTTGGTTTTATTTTCTCAACATGGAAGGTGTTGACCAAGTGTCTGAAGCATCTTTTAATCAGAGATAAGAGTAAACAATGGTATAAAATGGTAACAACTCAAGAAGTTTCCAAAATTCTGCTCATGACTGACACACAGGCCTTCCATTGCCCCCAAGTACCATTGAGTTAAAAATAAAAAACCAAAAAAAAAACATAAAGCCTTTGGTGTGGCTGTGCCTTTCCAGCCCAGCGATTCCTCCACGGCTGCACTCTCAGAGCAGCAGCACTCACTTTTGTCTTGGGAGTACAGACAAACAGCACTGCAACATCTTATTTTGTGGAAAGTTAAACACAGCCCACCAGCACTGGTCCGCCCTCAAGTCCTAGCTTAGCCAACTGCATCCAGTAGGTCTAGAAAAGTTTTCAAAACCACAACTTGGAACAGAATAAATTTTAAAAGGCTTGTATTGTGATAGTTGTCTTAGGGGCAATAAGCAACCCCCCTCCCCTATTTCAGAAGGCTGTCGTGAAGATTTCAGAGGGGCTTGCAGCACCAAAATAGGCAGCAAACGCTGGCCTGGTCCCTCATGACAGCAGAGATACAAGTTAGAACCTCCTTAGCATGTAGCACCCTGATGGCGAGTTCAGACAGCGTTTCTGGTGTAGCACAGTCCCATTCAAAGCTTGGCTGTAGTCCAGAGCGCTGACAGCAGGACTGAGGAAAAGAGCCTCTGCTACAGCCAGGGTAGCTTGGACGCGGAACCACGGGGACCTCGTGTTCTCCATGCTCTTAAGTGGCTTCTGGAGTGCATCAAGGAGATAACGCTGAACCTGCACTGGAGCAAACCGTCACTGAAATGGCACCGTAACCCTCCTGCGGTCGGCAGCCAGCCTCGTCCAAACTCCTTCTGCGTTGAGTTGATCCTAGTAAAAACCAGTTTGTCACAAAGACACCTCTGCGAACATCGACGGGACTAAGATTTAAGTACAAAATGGCTTAAAGTGAAATCTGCAGCTTTGTTTTTGCCCTAGTCATTGGCTTTATCCCTTCTGCTGTGCAAAGCCTCTGACTGGTCTGGATTGTGCCCATTTCAGATTTGCTGGAGGTTGCTGGGGAAGGGGTATCTTGATTAAAGATCACTTGGGAATGTGGAGCTCAACACATCTAGATTTTTAAACACAAGTTCATGTTTGCTCAAGGCCAACCCACAGCCTTATTCCTCTTCTGTCCACTGGCCGCTAGCCACGTGGCCATTAATGCGGTTGGAACCGTTACTTGAAGTGCTGAAAACTCCTTTTGTGCTGTTGGAAGTCACATCCTCCTCTTCAGAGCTGCTCTCTACATCACTGCGGTCATCTTTTGATACCTAAACATTTCAAAGGAAATTTGGTAGTGGAAAGGGGAGAAGGAAGTTGAAAAATTCACAAAAAACAGTAGTTACAAGGTTGCATCCATGTGATCAACCAACTTCAGTCAGTTACAATTACCTTCTACGTTTGATCCTGAATCACTTCAAATTCACAAGGAGGAACCTGTCATCGCATACAGAATCCAAGACACAGATATGGAAAATGACAATTTGGAAATAAGAGTTCCATTTTCCTAGCACTCTGCACATCTGTGAAAGCGCTACACTTCCTTTGTTCTCACCAGATCAGAGGCCATTATAGATCTGTGGTTGTTCGTGTCTTCCAGAGCCGCATTCTAGATGATTGGTTGAAAGCCACTTTTCCAAACAACAAATTTGTTCTGAATCAAAGAACTACTCACACCCTAATCATCAGTGGGTATGATGACCAAAAACCATGTATACATCAGTTTTAGAGGGAACGTTTTGTCCTGCAGGGAGTGGCTTTGCTTTTTTAAAAATTAACCAGCTATATTTATCACATTACTGTTTGCACAAAGTGCCTCCCATTTTCACAGCTTGTGGTTCATACATGAGAACTCATTTATGAGCAAAAGCCAGTTTGGACAGCGAGCTGTAGAACAAAGATGACTGCCTAATCCAGCAAACACCCGTTCAGGAACAGAAGGAGCATCTCAGCCCAGAGATCTAGATCTGCTATACAGAGTTACACCTTTAGTTAAAAGACTGACTGCAAATCCAGCTGGATTTGATCTGTACGTGGGATTTTGAACCTCCTGGAGCAGATCCAGGCACGCTTTGCTGCCGGCTGCTCCGAGTGCCGCGGGAGGGCAGTGCACCAGCACCGCAGAGCCAGCCACACCACAAGGTGAAGCGAAGAGATCACAAGCCAGGCCCTAACTGCAAACAGGCACCTTGGTTGGTGGCGGGGTGCCAGAGCCATAAACTCACCAGTGCCGAGCAGTGACTGCGTGAACAGCCCGTGCTTTGCATAGCCCAAGGCAGGCTCTCCACACTTCTACCTCTGCAGCTAATAACCCTCATTTACTTCATGTGCAAGCACTTTGCGGCTAGCACCTTTCCAAGGATTTCATTCTGTTCTGCTTCCTTTGAGCCAGGGTTAGGGCTTTCGAACAGCACCAGGCAGGAAGTTTTTGAACTCAAGGGAAGATCTGGCAGAAAGCCAGGTAAAGTTAATGATCTCCAGGATTGGTTTTGATAAGCCTGTTGGATGTACTGGCTTCTGTCTGTTGCCAGAACTTTTGATACCTTTCCCCACTCTCCTGCTATGTTGGAAGTTCAAAGGGTCACTGGAAGGAAGCAGAAATCCCTCGGAATTTTTCCCATCTTTTAGGGGACAAGTGACTGTTCTACTCCTTTTTGCAAAAAAGATTGCGTTTCTCCTGTCCTCTTCCACTCAGCAGAGTGTTAATGAGCACTGAGGACAGATATCAGTCTCTGTGGGCATACAAAAGCAGAAAGGTGAAGGTCATGCAGCCAGCTGACAGCAGATAGGAACAAACCCCAGGACACTGCTTTGACCTTTGGAAAAACCTGCATTTCAGCATACTGTCAGAACCATATCAACCAGAGAGGGGAACATTTGAAGAGAAGGCACCAGCCACCTCAAGCCCCAAGACTGTAGCTTTGCTTTTGTCTCAGCCTCGAAACAGACACAGATGTGTTTCTGTGAACAAACAGAAGCACAGATCACACTTACATGCAAAGGATGAAACCGTCCAGCTCCAATCTGGCACAGAGAAAAGGAGGGAGAAAAGAATGAAGAAGACAGAGCTTAGAGTCCCTTCTCTGGCTAGGTCACCTGGACAGGAGAGAACCAAGGAAAGGAAAAAGATGTAGACCTCAGGATACAGAAACAGCTGCACAGACAGAAAATAAGACATTTGCAGTAGCAGCTGTGGGGAACAGATGAAAAGATCATGTGCATACTCTGAAACATGCCTTCCCCTGACAATCCCTGCCACAGACAACTACAATAGAAATATTTTTCAAGGTTACATTCCATGTGTAGGGGCAGCTAAGAAGTCAAACACAAAATAAAAGTAGAGCCACGAGAGAAACTCGGATCAGAATACCAAATATCTGATGAAAAAAAGCATTTATGCTACGAAATCAGCTGTTGCTCTCTGGTAGCTGCCAAGCAAGTGCCTTCTCTTGATGCACTGGCTTGGTGTCAAATTAGTTCCTAGATTGGCTTGCCCTGTCTCATGCTACTTCAGTTGAACTACACCTTTTTGCTTAGGGCACCCTTCGGGCAGTATCTGTTGCTAACCAGCTGCTGTAGTTTCACCCTCCCTCTCCATAAAATTCCCAACACAAATTAAAATAAGAATACTCAGGACTGAAGCTAGACTGCACCCCACTGGCCCAGTGACAACCAGCAAACTCCACTGCATTTCTGATAAGCCTTTCTCCTCTGTGTGCTGCAGCTCAATGCCTCACCTGCGCTGACAGCCAGAAGCCCGTGTTAGTGCTAACAAGCGGAAGATCATAACCCTCATCACATCCCAAGAACCAGCTGAAGCTGGTTGGGAAACATCCTATATGATTGTTCAAAAAAGAGCCTGCTACCACCTTACACTCCAAATAAAGCATGTGACAAGCCTGTCATCATCACTCTTATTACAACAGGTGAATGTACTGGGAAATGGTGTTATTTCCCTGCATGACCAGGAACAGAGAGGGAAGCATCCCTGCCTCTGTATACACCTGGCAACTCAAGTCTGCAGAGCAACCAAAGTAAAAAAAAAACCAAACACCTACTGTTGTACAAAGCACTCCTGATGCAAGTCCCTCGAGAACTAGTACCAACCCTCACTGAAGGGCCCCGTTTCTCGTGATTGTTCAATAGGGCTTGTAGGAAAGAGGACGCAAAACAGTCACCAGCAATCTTACCTTTCCCCGCATGAGGGCCTTGTAGGCAGTGCGAATGATGAGATAAGACCAGATGATATGCAAGATCTGCAAGGTTACCAAAAGCCCATTGAATAGCCACCATGAAGGATAAGGACCAATCAACTCCCAGCTTTCAAATAGGGTTGTATTCAAAATCCTAAAAGAGATCCAGAAACACGTTACAGACCGGCTGTGCTTCCAGCCCTAAATCAAGACGACTGGCCAGATGCACAACAGTTTGTATCTCATTTAAGCATCTGCTGCTTTGCTCCTGTCAGGGCGGCAATGCAGCTAGTCTCTTGCCAGAGTTAGGAGACACACTAAAGCTAATTAGAAACATTTGAACTGAGCAACAAACGGGGGAAGATGTGAATGTTCTGCAGTCTGGTTATACAGACAGATCTGCTGCCAATTTGCTTCTCAAAAGCATAAGCATTTATAATAACTTTACAGGAAGTGATGTCAAGCTGCATTGGTCATCAAAACAACCCTTAACACATTCATACTTGGGCAGTCTTCACCCATATCTGAAATTCAGGAAGGAATTTTGTTCCCAGTAGGCCTCTCCCTCTGCGCTATTCTCTTCCCTCAGATTTTTTATAGATTCCTCCTGCCAAGCTGGAGGACTAGAAACTGCTTTATGGACAAAGCTTTGTGCTTTCTTTCATTACTGTTTTGCTGTTCTTGTCGCTGGGAGTTATTGCCAGTACTTAAGTAATTTAATAAACACTTTAGATTTTATGAAGTAGAGAGGTATGGAGAGACCTTTAAAGACGTCATTAATTTCACATAGCTTTTAACATCGCACAAGAAAAGAAAAACAAGCCTTTCAAAGAAGAACCCAAGTCCCCCAGAATGCAGCTACAGAAACACCTAACTCATACAGCCAGTTTACGGATGAATTAAATGCAATTCCAGAGATCTGTTAATGTTTTATACTACTAATTAGGGAGGGCAATATACGTGAAGTGAAATAGCATAGGGTCTGCCATACTGCTGCAAGCTTCCCAGATTTCTCTACCAAGCTGAGGAATTACATTACAGCCAGTGGAAAATACATTAAAAATTTACAGGATTGCTGAGCTATAGCATGATGCAAAAGCAGCACCTCATGACGGACAACAGCAATAAAAACAATGACAACTATCTCATCCGTCACTGGAAGGAGCCTATGAAGATATAAGAATTAAAACTCTTCCTTATCCAGACTCCTTTGGTGCATTTACTGGAAAACAAGCAAGAGCTTTAATTGCAACCTTAATACCAAAGCGTAAGTATTGTTTCTGCCTACCAGCAAGGCACCCAAAAAGAACGGGAATGCAAGCTGTCCATTGCCTAGGAAATAAATATATGCAGTAAAACCAAAATAAACTGAGTAACAATCAGGTGCAACCAAATTTTCACCACGCTCTTTCAACAGAAACAAGAAGTGGATAACAGCTCATGAACAGAACCACCTCACCAAGGCTGACCTATTGAGGTGAGCAGGAATCTCATTATCAGATGATTAGCTATAAGCCATTCAGCCAGAGTTTTACCTCCCAAGAAACCTAAGACCTATTTCAGGCTCTGAACAGTCACAACACAAGGACAGGACACGCGTGTCATAAGAATCAGAAACTTCAACGATGACTAAGCCAGATACTCAAAAATCAAATTTATGTCAAGAGACCATGCCTCATTTGTAACTATCTCCAAAACTTCTTAGGAGAAGCAAAGAACCCTTGAAGTCTTTCAGAGCAGACACCGGCTGACTTGGCTCCAGCTAATGCGCCCTGTCCTCACTTTGCAGTCGGAGGAGAGGGGCCAGCTGCGCATTAGGATTCTAGTCCCTTTTCACACCCCCCTCAGCTGACTGTTGAGAGGTTTTCTTCATATGCCTAGTTGAACGTACTGCTCCAAACAGTCCTTGGGCTGTTTGCAACTTCAGGCTGCCTTAAGGGACAGGCTGGAATGCTTGCAAGAAGTCTAAGTACAAAGGCTTTGCTTAAAAGACTGAAGAACAGACAAGACCTTATAGCTCAAGGTGCTTACCAGAAAGGATAAATGCCCAACCGTGTAACAATGAATACGACACCAAAGAGCATGAAGAAAGCATCACATAGACGTTGGTACTTGGCATAATTGGCTAGCTTTGCAGCCTGAAAGAGACAAGAAACATGCGAGTATTATTCCCTTTGTGCACTCATGTAATTACCAGGCTGTAAAGCTTCAAAAACCCTCAAGCCATCACATTTGCAAGGAGTTTGGAACATTTCAGGATTATTCTCAGCGCTAAAGCAGTTATGAGGAAAAGCTGACAAGGAAGGATCAGCAGCAGAAGTTTTATGGCATAATTAATGCAGTTTATCAAGAATGGGAAAGCCAGCTTCTCCTGAGACCACACTAGCATTAGGTACGTGAAGATTTGAAAGGAAACTCACCTCTAAAAAGAAATCTGATGCATCATGGAGGCACAGCACCAGAGTTCCAACCCGCACCATATTATTCATATAAGAGAATGTAATGAGTCCAATTGTAGCCAAATGATGGACGAACATGATCAGGAAGTCCTGAAAATAGAAAAAAATATGAATGAAGACTCTTTGGCTGTCAAACAAATACAAAGGTTTGGACCAGAGCCACAACACTGACTAAGTGGGGTCATAGGATTACTTCAGTTCAGACTCTGACTCCACTTTATCTAAAGCACAGCTCATCACACAACATCATCCATCATCACTCAAGGTTCCAGAAAGGTCTCTCCAAGAATTTGTGCTCCTGTGAAGTCAGAACTCTGCATACCCAGGCACAGCACAGTCGCTTCGGCACGCACGTGCAAGGTAAAGACAAATATGCCTGCAGACCCCATTGAAAAGACCAACAGGACAACATATGGCCCTCATTTTTGGCTCCTTTTGGTTTTACAGTCGTATTGCTAGTCCTTTCAGCTCTTGGCACAAATTTTAAGTACGCTGCTGTTACTGTTGTCAGTGTGCAAAAGCCTGCCAGAGCATAGCAGACATAGAATACAAGATAACCCAACAGCACGAACTAGGCCACTTCATTAAAAAAATGTTTACAATGCACATACATCCAGGGCTGTTTTCCAGCTTAGCCCCCTGAGTACAACCATTCCATCTCAATGTACCTTACTGTGCTTGCAGTGGGGAACGTAATCCACTTTGTTCAAGTCGGAGTACAAAATTAAACATTATAAAACAGTATCGCAGATGCTGTTAATCACTCCCTTTCTGCAGCTCCAAGATATCTTGTAATGCCTCACCTGCTAACGTTTCAGCACAGAAAAAAAAACCCAGGCAAACTTTTCTTTTTGAACAGTCAATGCAAGAATTGGGATAATTTGCTACTTTGCAGTTTGTAAAACAGAAGCAATAAACCATGATTTACTATGAACTGTTTTCCAACAGCAACAATAAGCCAAATCCTAGAACGCAGCGCAACGGAATTAGATTCCGGCAATCGCGACCAGTCATCATCCTGCTGCACACACAGATGAGAAACTACTTTCAAAAACCCATTTATTACTGCTTTAGTGTTTGCCATTTTCTCAGCCGGCTCAGCAAGGAACTGCTTTGAGCATCTCATTTTCGTGTTTTCTTGCAAGCCTTCTAATTAAATCTATTTTTATGCAATGATTTGATAACTTTTTATTGGGAGGTATTGAGTGATTCTGTTCTCTCCCCTGGAAGGTGAAAGGGACTCTCCAGGATATACCAGGCTGCCTATCAGGCTTGCTCCTCCTCCCTTTTCCCCAGGACTGGGTAGCAATTACAGAAGGAGGTAGGCTACACAAAGATGTGAATGAGAAAGAAAATACAGTTATAACTATGCTTGAACTTTACTGGCCAGGCACACTCACATTTTTTGTTAGTCCTATCTATTTAGCAAAGTGGTTAGTGCAATTCTGGTTAATCTCACCTTCCGTTTAATGTCTGTAAACTGAGAAAACATGAGAGACCAATAGAAGGCCAGCTCCAAGATATAGTAATAATAAAGCCTGGATGTTAGAGGCTGGAAAACAAACAAAGATAGCACAGTTAGCAAAGTACTTCAAAATTTACATTAAAATCGACCTTTTCCTTCCTTCCCATCCCACTCTGTTCCTCCAGAATGCTGAGGCGTAAGCTAAAAGATCCAGCATTAAGGTTTAGTAAAAACAAGCTTAAGCAACAGACGCCTTACTATAGGCTTAGTCACACAAACATACTTGTATGCTTGAGCTTTATTCCAAAGGAGTAAGATTGTCTTGTCAATATTTATGACTCCTACTGCAGCCACCCGGATCAGGAAAACCAGGCACTGAAACAGACTGGCTGGCCTCTACACAATCATACTTGCTGCATAATGAAAACAACGCTGCAAATAAGTTAGCAATATAATTTTATGCATCTTTTTTTTTCCACTTTTAATAATCTCAGCAGCAAGTAAACATAAAATGAGTATGAACTGAGTCAGTTCTACCTGAGGAGACACTGCTGATGACAAACCTAACCAGGATCTAAGGACATAAAAAGCAAATGCCATCTTCGCTCTGTCCAAAAGGGATGGCCATTCGCCAACTACAAAGCTTACCAGGCTGCAAACTCTGCAGCAGCCACCCCGTGGAATAAAGAGCAGCACTCAAGTCTACTGAGTTTCAATCTGCCATCATTAACAAAAAATAAAACCTGAAATTGTGCAAAAATTCTGAATCTAGTAAGTATTTATCTCCTACCTGAAAAGGGTAGTTGTACCAGCACTGTCGTGTGTCCCAAAACCAGGGTGCCTAAAGGGAAAAAGAGAAGTTGTTATTCTACCGGGGTTTTTTTCTTCCCTATCATCTAAGGCAGTTGACCACTACAGTAGTGTTTCACTGAAATTTTATCTTGATTCTACCATTCAAGCTAAATTCACTGTAAAACATCCTAGTGGTTTAAAATATTCTTTCTGCAGTCAAAGGCAAGTTACACTGCAATGGAAATTCAAAGAATAATCATACAACTCTAAAAATAATAATAATAATAATGACCAAAAGAGATTAATTTGTATTCTTTCAAGAGGGAGACGAGAAAAAACAAGCAGTACTCCATAGCAAAACACACACACACCCCCCCCAGTTGTGTCCCATTCTGGGGTAACAGGACAAATAAGTTTCTAATATTTCCATAATGACAGATCTGCATAGCAGCTTTCCTGTAGTGTGAAGAAAGTCTTTAAACCAACACCCCAGGATCTCAAATAAGGGAACATAAAGATGACTATCACCACTAAACCCCCCTTGTTTTAAGCTAGGTACAAGCACAGGTAGTCAAGCCCCCAATATTTCAGAGGGTCAGGCATAAATCACTTGTCCTGATCCCATAAAAAAATATACTTAAATAAAATGTAAATCTCCACCTGGAAAAAAAGAAGCAAAAATTAAAACTTATGAAATAGAAACAGCTTCTGGTTAACATTTGTAACAAAAGCTGAAAAAAACCAATTCTGACACCTGAAAAACCTTCACCCACCAAATGGTAATCCTTCATTTGTAAACACTTCATGTAAGGATAAATCTGTTTAAGGTTTTCACACCACACACTAGTTTGCATCAACAGCAAAGTTTGAAATAAAGCTCAGAGTGAACATGCATCATTCATATGCTTTAATATACAATAAGAAGATAACAACAAAAAAAGTCATTGTTATCCAGAAGGTATCCTAATATATGTATTTGTCCCTCTTACCTTGTGGCTTTAAGTAGACAAAACCATACTGGGGGGAAGAATTAATATGAAGAAAGTTACTGGAAAGGAAAGACACCAGCACAGAAGAAATAACAAGTCAGGAAAAAATATTCAGATGCTACTACACTAACAGAGGTAACTGCAAGCATTCAGAAAGAAACAAAGAACAAAAGAATGAACTGAAATGAAAAGAACAGGAATCCAAGTAGTGTCTGTATAAAAGAATATACATCATTGTGTAAGCCATAATATCATTCTGTCTGGGAACAAATGCTGGTCTACAACGTAACTGTGTAGACAGCAGACTTGTCTTCAGTATAATTAGGCAAGTTGTGGCCATGCATATGCACACGTGCACACACACGCACACTGAAGTGCTACTGTTGGCATTAAGGACCTGGTCCACTATCTAAAGCTGCTCATCGGTGACAGGAATAACTCCTGCACATATATTCTGTTCTCTCATGCACATACACAAAATATTTTCAAATACTGAATTCTAAAAATCCCTCCTAACTTATTTGCTTATGTCAGAATTCATCTTCCACCAGCCAACCCCAAGGTATTGGTTTAAATTAGCAGCTGACCACAGTTTCAGTTAGAAAAGAGAACATACAGCTGGAGCTTTAAGATGAAGCCACATCTTGGCCTCTGCACAAACATACATGCTCTCACAAAATTTAGTGAGGGTGGTGGGTTTGTCCTGGTTCCTCCGATGACGAAACCAGCGCTGGATCTTTCGAACATCCCAGTCTAGCTGCTTTGACAAGCCTTCTAACCTTTTTCCATCTGGAGACTGAAGGAAAATGAAACAAGTGTCATTTCTCCCACTTCTCAACCTACTTTCAGTCTGAGATCCTCCCTGTACCATGACAGAAATGATGCACAGATAACAACACACACACACTAGGAAGGCACTACGTAAAGACTAGAAGCAGGAACCCACTGCCACAAATGTTCATTCAAGTTTAACCTTCATAAGCCACTAGTTACTTAATTATTCAGAATGCTTTTGGTTTAACATTTCCTCATCTATTTCATCAGCACGTAATGACAAAAAAATGCAATTGTTCTGTTTCTTAATTTGCAGGGAGGAGCTTTTAAGATGTCCTGTCCTACCTGTTAGAACTCGCACATCAATTCAAACAGTCCAGAACTCAGAAAGATCAAAGCTGAATACATTTGAGGGTTACGACCCACTGCAAGTTTAGGAAAACTTTAAACTAAGAGTTGGTTTAATACAATAGATATTTGTGTATTCCAAAAGGGCATCGTAGAGATGGCATTATTTCCATTATTAAAGTTTATAAATAAAATTAAATTTGAAAAATAATTGTATGATAAAGAATATATGACTGTTCTCTGACTGGAAACATGACTGTCAGCTTTTATTTGTTTGAATAATGACATAAATGGATTTATAAGAGACAAAGTGAACAAAACCTGATAACTACCTCTACAATGGCCCAGTGGTTAGATAAGCCACGCTAGTTTCAGACCAGTGTCCTTTTAACAAGCTCTGCCAGGGAGCTCTTACAACTGAAAGATGATAAACACATTTTACTACTTGAATTACATACAAACCCAAAAATCCATGCAGAATGCTGACTTACTAGAGCCATCAGATTGTTCAACTGAAAAGCAAAATCAACTGTCATTTTCAGTACTGAGACCACGACTTTCCTGTAATTCCGTCACAACCAGGTCTCTCTGCACTTTACTGGGCTCCAACGGTTCACGGTACCTGACACTTCTGCATTGGAAGTGCACCTGCCTCAAAGGTGAATTTACAGAGCTCCGATTTCAGAGCAGCGATGACATCTTTCCCCTGCATCCGTGCCACTGTACATTCCGATTCTCCAAATCCAACAGCAGACACAAGCACACTGGCACAGTTAAACGCAGCTCTGTTTTCATAAGCTAGATAGATTTTGTACAGCGGGCATCCTCATGGGTTTGCTAAACATTAATTTCAAGGACATCCCCTACATAAAAGTCCCTCCCACAAACGACATCAAATCATAGGGACTTTTCAGTTCACACGTCATTCCAAATACCTCAGAACTTTAATGTTCCCATGAGGCAAGTTTTAGTATGGTTTTTATAGAACTTCCCTTCCATTCACCAAGCGCTTTATCTGCTCCCCTCAGAACAAAGTTCAGCATCACCGGATCAGAACACAAAACCTTCCGTTTCATTATCTTTAATGAAAATCTATCATGCTGTCTGCATGGATTTCACTGTCAACATTCAGTAGGGTACAGACAGTGTGGAATTCTGTGATCATGGGGGGAAAGAGCACTGACAGCTTAAGTGAAAGAAAGGCCATGAAACAATCAAAAGAAACACCGACTGTCAACATTAAATGTCCTACCACTTACCAGGGCACACTTCCACTGACTGAACGCTTTCCTTAAATAACTGACTTCCACTGCGACAGCTGCTGTCCAATTCCACAGTAGATGGCAAAAATAAGAGGAAGGCATTCACACAGCTGGCCAGTACGACCAGCAAAGGAACAGATCTCAAGGAAAAGAGTAGCACTGTTCCAGTACAAAGTGAGAGATACTGGGAAATTTCTTGTTAAACCAAGAATTACCACCTGTTACAACACTGACAATTTGGACAAAGGCAGGGAACTACAGGAACAAGCTTCGTACCTTTCTAAAAGGAGAACAATTTTTAAAAAAAAAGATTCTTCTGTGCACAAAACCATAGGTCAGCCATAACGAGAATTTACTTTGCTACAATACGGACACACCACAGGCAAAGTAAAAAAAAAAGGGGCAACGGGCACAAATTGGAGCAGAGGAAGTTCGGTCTGAACATGAGGAAGAACTTCTTCACTCTGAGCGTGACGGAGCCCTGGAACAGGCTGCCCAGGGAGGCTGTGGAGTCTCCTTCTCTGGAGATATTCAAGACCTGCCTGGACAAAGTCCTGTGCAGCCTGCTCTGGGTGACCCTGCTTTGGCAGGGGGGTGGGGTGGGTGACCCCCAGAGGGCCCTTCCAACCCCTACTATTCCGGGATTCTCTGAAAATAAGAAAGAGCACACTCGTTGTGCATGCACAGTGTGAAACGCACTTCTATCAAACTAGAAAAGTGGAAGCAAAATGCTCCCCCCTCCCCTTACTTACAGGCCTCCATTTCTAGCAGAATTTGAAGCATGACTCACCTTAGTGATGGATGTAAACACTTTCTCTAAAATTGCATTGGGCTGGGCTCTGTGAGGTCCACTGTCCTGAATGCCAAGGTTTATGGCACACGGCTTGGCAATAAACCTGAAAGAGTTCCGAAGAAAGAGCTAGATTAAAGCAAGATAACTATTTCCCTCCTCCGCCTGAATCACAAGGACCCCGACTTGTCACCAACTGCAAAACCTGTCCAGACAGCTTTTGAAGATCTCCATTCACTTTGCTTAAAGAAACGTCACATGTGAAGCAATATCTTTTATTAGTCCAAATGGTAATCGCAGTCAGTACGTACAGTACACATACTTGAAATGAAAAATTAAATCTTAATGTCCTTGGCTTGTAAGGATCAGAATGTGTTCCCCCAGGGTGATTCTCGTTACTCAGAAATAAAATAATAGACCACTGATGGGAGTCTTCTGCAAATATAAATGCTAGAATCCTTGTAGCCCTATAAACAAAATGCCTTATTTCCAGAACGCGCCTCGGTGCCACACAGCTCCGAAAAAAGGGAAGTTCAAATGACACAGCTCCTAACAGAAACACAGTTTTCTGTTTTGGGTTTTATTTTTGTCTTTGGGAAAAATAAAGTGGCTTGCTTCATTCGAGAGAGCAAGGAAGACATAAGAAGTCACTCCGTCTGAAGACCCAAGATCTCAGTACCTCACTCCGTGCTGTATGCACCGCGTATTCCAAATGCTGATCTAACATTTTGTGAATTTTATAGAACAGATGCTCTGAAAACAAGCCTGGTTTTGCAACTAAAATTAATATATACATGTTCAACAATTATTAGGTCTCACTGTACCTTTGTGTCAAAATGGGCACCGGATTCTAAGGAAAATGTGTGTGCTACCTGAACAAGTGAATTGTTTTCTCTCCTGTTGGTGGGCAAGAGAGGTGGGTTTGAAGGAGCAATTTTAATTATTTTTTTAATGAATCATTTTGCATTTTGAGAGAGAGCATGCAATGAACCTGGTTCTCAAAACAGATTTTGTAAAGGACTCAACATTTGCATCATTAAATCTATTCTGCTTCGAAACAGAGATTGTTTCAGAGACAACTGTACTGAAGACAACAGATTACACATATGTATTCCATTTAGCAGACTCGGAGTGCCATCAAGCAGAAAATACTGCTTTTTCCAACCGCCACATTTGTTACCATTTCTCCTTGTGTTTAACGGGAGAGATTAAACTTCAGGAGAATCACCACTATAAGTGTTCCAACAACAACCATTCTTGGAAGTACATTGTTTGTTCTTCAGTAACAAACAGCTACGACTGTGTTCAAGAACAGACACAGGTTGTGGGGTTTTCCCCTTGAGAAATTACAGATCAGCTCATGACTAATCCTAAAGGAACTCCCCTGCTCTCAGAAAATGCTACCCCAGTGATAGGGACCGTGGCCCCAGGTTTCACTGTCCTGCCTCATTTTTTCATATGCCCCGCTCATTTCAACAGTGATAGCTTTAAAAATAAAAAGAAAGGAAAGGGTGATTTCCTTTGAGCTTGGCTCAAAAGGCTCACTGCTTCCTCTATATTCTAGACCACCAGCCAGAAATCACGTTCTGATGTTATGAAACATTTGGCTAGACCTCCACAAAAGTGTACATCTTTATACTCTTCTTTCCTACAGGATATACCACAACAACAGCAAAAAAAGTACACGTGTAATTACAGGATGCCACATATTTTTTGTCTTATTTTCTGCGACACTGCTTACAGCTTTATAAAAAAAAAAATCCTGGCCTGCTGATACTCAGTTTGGGTCAGTTTCCTCACATAAGAAAAGAAACTAGAAAAATCTAAAAACCTGCACGATTTATCATTCAGGAGAGCCTTCTTTTGTTTTAAGAACAAGTAAAGCAGAGAAGGAATGGTTAAGAAAGCTCATAATGATCCATACAAAGTTTTGGCATTATCCTAGAGTTCAAAACCTGAAGCATCAAGTAAAGAAGGAACAGCTTCTCCTCAGAAAAAAAGATGCAAAAAGAATTCACCTCGGGACCTGAAGATTTAAAAAAAAGAAAAAAACAACACCCAACCCAAAATACCAACCCAAACTCAAAACTTTGCATGAAACTATTCCCGAGTAGCAGGCTTTCTTCACTAACAGGCTTAGGGAAAAAAATACAGATGTTTCCAGAAATTGGAGGGGGAAGGAAATCAAGAGTAAGCCACAGGCTACAGGTACAGCACAGGACTCCAGTTACTCAGTCAAGCATGTGGGTGACCAAAGAGCAAACTAAAAAAACCTGCAAGCATTTCTAGGTGCACAGCAGCAGACAGACCTCCACCCAAACAAACAGACAATTCACAACAAGGGAGGCAAGGGAGGTAGTCCCAGTCACAGAAACAGGAAGGAAAAAGGACGGCAGCAATGGATTTCACTACTTTTAAGGAAGTCTAACCCAACGCCATAACGTTGCTTCTCTTACTCCGCAAGTAATGGCTTCATGCAATTGAACTGCGAACGACAACTGTCCTTCCGCAGGGCTTCCTGGCTGGCCATGCGAGGTGTTTTTACCTGGGCTGGGCACAGCTGGCTCACGCTCACGAGGCCACAGGACAGTCAGGGTCCAATGGCTTCAATCAGTTACTACCTCGCAGGTGGAATATGAAGTGAATGGTCAATCCTGTTGTCAGTCAGAAAAAGACCAAGATGACATGCCGTTTCCTTTAGGTGTCCATTAAGGAAAACTCACATTTCAAACCTCTCTGGCATTTTATATTTTTGGCCCCAGAAAAGGTTTTCAGATGTGCAAGTTTTACACTGTATCCCACAGAGAAAAATTTGTGCACAGCAATAGCAGTTAAGCACCAAAAAAAAAAGGCTGCCCAGACAGTAAGATTTCCATTCTTGGGGATATTAAAAACCAAACAGCACAAGACCACGAGCAGCCTGACCTGACTAAAACCTTGGCCTTGCTTTGAGGAGCGGATTGGACAAGGTGACCTCCAGAAGTTCATTTAAATCTAAATTATTTTATGATTCTTAACTGCAGAAACTATTCCCAAGGTCAACTTCCTGCCACACCTTCCCAGCAAGGAATTATCATCACTTAAATATACTTACATTACACTTTTCCGAACAGGTATCTTCTCACTGGCTTAAGTCAGACCTACCAAGCTACCTTTTTCACGCTAGTTACCAAGATAGGCTGATTTTGAAACCAACACCAATTCTGAAGTACACAAACTCCTATGTCATAACAAATATTTCTCAGGCATGTTGTACTTCACAAACCCCAAAGCAGAATCCTTCTTTCGGGAACATCCAACTTTGTCTAGTAACTCCCTATTACAGTTCTGGAAAGGAAGAGCAATCCGTGAAATAGTAAGATTTATGAAGTATGCACTCAAAGCAAGCGTTCCTCTTTCCATCATCTCTCAGTTTCATTGTGTTAGGATTAAACCACCTCGTTCCACAACTGTCCCTAACTTTTCCAGACGGTTTAGATGAAGCAACACCTAAATCCCCTTTTCCCTGCCCCTGCAGTTTGAGCAAAAGCTGCAGATCTTTCCTCAGACCCGTAGAGTAACAAGCATATCTGTTACTTGACGGCATTCCAGTGTAATTATAAACACATCCCACGAATAGGCTCCAGATTTTCGCAGATACCTGGGATTTTTTTTTTAGTGCCTGCAGTGGGACAAGATGTGCAAGGATAAATAACAGCAGCATAACCAAGGAAAGAAAAAAAAAAACACAACAAAAGCAAAACCCAAACTTGTGGGCAGAAGTCTTTCTTTATCTTGTCTGCACAAAAACCTCACCCCCCTGCAACTGAGTCAGGACCTTACCTTCTTCTAAAAGTCTTGCCTCATCTCTGTAATCATAGCCTTCCCACAGACAGTCAGCCTAATGAGTACTGTACCAGCATTATGATGCAAAGATTAATTTATAGAAGCATTCACTAACAGAAATGTGTCAGTGTTACAAAAGCACTTCCTCATACTGAAGATCTAGAGCAAAAGGAGAAAAAAAAGAAATTAAGGAAAACTAGAACAAAAGAACTGCACGAGTACACAATTCAAGTTCTGAGTCATTGAGTCCGACTGCCAACTGTGTGTCAAGGAAGACATTTGACACAATCATTCCCAAAGCCTGAATCGCAGTATATGCACAACAGGATTTTATTAAGACAAATCTGAAACTTTATGACACGTTCAAAGTGGCAGGAGGAAAGAGAAAAGCATTTCTTAAAAAATACAGTCTTTTAAAATAAGCAAACTAGAAACTGCCTTGGATGTTGGTCTCACAATCTGCTTTCACTTTAGGACACCACCATTGAGACACACTACAGCAAAGACACAGTTGAAAAAACCAGGAACCAGGCCATGGTCTCCAGGTTTTACTGTGTAGGCGAAGGACTTAATTTGTCTTTTGACTCCTCTCTAAATTCACACCGCAAAAGAAATTTCATGAACAAGGTAGGCGTTATCCAGATAAAGTAATTGCTACCACAAGGACTGTGGTACTAGGTGTGGTAGGACACACTGTATCTTTCCTAACATCTCACGCTCCAGAGAAAAGAGAACCTCTTGCACTTCTCCCCCAGGCTAAGACACCTGGACTAAACAGGGCTTGGAAAGCAAGGAGACCTTCCTTACAACATCCCTTTCAGGGCTATCGGTCTGTCTCACAACTTCCTTTCCTCATCTGTTGGCAAGCGTGAACATTTGGCCACGACCAGCACCAGCATGCCAAGCTGAGATGAGATTTTGGCACTGCCACGTGTGTTCCTGGGTTCCCTGCGCTGGTTTGAGCTGCCAGTGGTTTTCTGAAGGGCAGAAAGATAAGATGGAGAACACAGAGCATCTCAAATTTCCCTCCTACTCTGCTTACCTCCTTCACTTTTCTCCACAGTTCACCCATCTTTTTACTTTGCCCCAGTCCCCTCTTTTAGTTTAATTTCTGAAAGCGCAAGAAAATTCACACTTCTAACAGAGAACTCACAAAACAAAACCAACTCGATTCCTACTCACTTTAGCCCTACAGCCTTTTTCATACTTACAAATACTTCTGCCCCTTTCATGTAGAAATTTAAGATTAAATTCATCTCTAATAAACTACTTAAACAGCACTACAAGTTGTCTTGGTCTGCTTCATCTGACGGTTTTCCTAAATAAGTTGCTTTGCTAATTAGTATCTTCGTTACCCACAGAGTCTGCCCTGCGCATGGCTGTAAGACATACACATCATGGGAAGGATAAACCTCTGCCCCAGGGAATAGTTCATATCATATGATAATGGATGCTCAAGCAAACGAGAAACAGACCCATTGATGAGCAGATATGAAGGTCTGCATGCACTTCTGCGACACTCAAGGTGCAGGGGATCCACAAACTGTTTAATAATATACTAAGCCATGTGAACAAGTCCTATTTCCTCATCCAGGAACTCGCAAGCAAAGCACAACAAAAGCAGAGAGAGACCAGCAACGCACGCCAGCCGGCCGCAGGGGCAGCCAGGTGCCTCTCACTCGCCCAG